AGGGACACCAGGGAGGGGACAGGGACACAACGGAGGGGACAGGGACACCAGGGAGGGGACAGGGACACCCTGGGAGGGGACAGGAACACAAGGGAGGGGACAGGGACACCAGGGAGGGGACAGGAACACAAGGGAGAGGACAGGGACACCAGGGAGGGGACAGGGACACCAGGGAGGGGACAGGGATCGCTGTGGGACAACAGGACCATGCAGGGAGGCTCAAGAACCACCAAGAAAGAGGAACAAGAACCACCACAAGGAGACCACTGAAGGGGACTCCGGGACCATCGGGGAAGGGACAGGCGGCAGGAACCACCCAGGGACCACCGAGGGCAGGGGGTGACGGGGACAGCGGGGGCTGTCACCTTGTCGATCTCCTTCTGGCTGGTGCCCTCCTTGCGCAGCCGCTCGTACTCCTGGCACTTGCTGTGGTAGCTCTCCTTGGACTTGGGCAGCAGCTGGGCCACGCCGTGCAGGAGCTGCACGGCCTCCAGCGTCCCCGCCACCTCCTCCTTGGACTGCGGGGGGACAGCGGCGTGGGGCCGGGCGGGCTGGGGACAGCACCGAGGGGACGAGGACGGGAGGGGGGACAGCGCTACCTTCTTGTGCACCCGGCCCTGCTCCTCGCCGTAGCGCGAGATCTCCTTGATGAGGTCGTGCAGCTTCTTCATCAGCTCCAGGTGGCACAGGGCCAGCTTGTCCGAGGAGATGCGGAAAACCTCCCAGAGAGGAGCGAAAGTCCTGCTCGGGGAGGTGGGAGAGGGTCACCAAAAGGGTCACCGGGGTCCCCAAAACCGCCTGGAGGAGCCCCAAACCGCCGTACCCCAGCTGGGTCCCGTTCGTGGCCATCTTGGACAGCTTCACCATGGCCTTGGCGTAGTTCTCCTCGATGGCAGCCCTGGGGATGGCGGGGAGAGGGATTTGGGATGGAGACAGAGTTTTGGGGACCCTCCTCAGGGTTTTGGGGACCCTCCTCAGGGTTTTGGGGACCCCCTCAGGGTTTTGGGGTCCCTCCTCAGGGTTTTGGGACCCTCCCCCAGGGTTTTGGGGACCCTCCCCGGGGTTTTGGGGACCTTCCCCGGGGTTTTGGGGACTCTCCCAGGGTTTTGGGGACCCTCCCCAGGGTTTTGAGGACCTCCCCAGGGTTTTGGGGACCCCCTCAGGGTTTTGGGGACCCTCCCCAGGGTTTTGGGGACCCTCCCCGGGGTTTTGAGGACCTCCCCAGGGTTTTGGGGACCCCCTCAGGGTTTTGGGGACCCTCCCCAGGGTTTTGGGGACCCTCCCCGGGGTTTTGGGGACCTTCCCCGGGGTTTTGGGGACCCTCCCAGGGTTTTGGGGACCCCCCCCGGGTACCTCTCCCGGACGAAGTCAGCGAGCTCCTTGGTGGAGATCTGCCCGTGCTTCATGTTGTGGTAGAGGACGTCGAAGCCGTGGTTCTTCTCTCCCTGCCAGGGGACCCCCCCCTCAAATCCCAAATCCCAAGGGACCCCCTTTTCCCCGGGAGCATCGGGAGCACCGGGATCAGCGTTTGGAGGGGCCCAAACCCCCCCGGGATGGGGGTGCCGAGCCCCCCACCCCTGCCCAGAGCCGGCCCCGGGTGCTCCCCAGGAAGGGCTGGGGACCCCCCCCCGAACGCCCCCGGGGTTATTTTGGGTGCTGCCCCCCCCCCCACCCCCCC